CTTATGTTAACGTTAATTGATTCATTCTTAAACTCAGGAAGACATCTTCAACATTAATTGGTGAAATCAATAGGTAAAATTCGGGTGTAAAAATGTATATAAGGCATTGAATATGTAGATTTTAGTTACTAGACAAGCATAAACAAGCTATTGCATAGCGAAACACGTTTTCATTACACGTTAAACTGTGTAATGAAAATCTCACAATAAATTTTTTCTTGAATACGCATTATAATACTTATTTTACTATTCAAACAATCCTACTATTCACTATCCTATACTATTCCTATCACTATACTATTCACAATCCTAATTTTCGCAGAGAATTCCGACCGGGTCGCAACACCTTCGATAATGTCTGCCGCAGTAGCAGACGAAACTTCAGTCATGAAAACTTCCAGACCACGGCTTATGGAAAATTTGTTACACACCATGACCTGATTCGTTCGGTATTTTATTATTTATCGCAACTGCCTGAACCTTGATAATTGAATCATTCAGTAACGAATGCAAGTAACATCTATTTACAGTGTCTATCGCCTGCAATTGTAATCTCTTCGGGGAGTACATGGTCTACTCGTAAATTCGCTCCGGTAATAATGAACCGCTATTGTATTTTCCGGTCGCACCGGAAACGTGCCTGTTTCCTGAACCAGAGACGCGAACACTTGGCATACCTACCTACTATTTGATATTCTGTGAACAGATAGATTAGAAATTCTAGCGCATCGCGAAGGACAATCGTCCGACGTATATTAGTTGATTAAATGATTGTCTATGACTGCTTATACCTCGTATATACGACGTGGAAGTACTTTTATGGAGTATATGTACGTTATGTGTGCATCATTGAAGATCTTCATCAGAATCATAAACGAAATTTCTCTGTGTTACAGAATCTTGTGAATATTGAAAGAAAAATAACCTCTATTATAACAATTTTCAATTGAAGGTGATTCATTAGCAACGTCGCACTTGAAGTGACCAACGGATAATCCTCTTACCAAGAAACATTCACAAAATAATTATTATGTTCCTTTTATATAGAAAGAGAACTACAAAGCACAGAAATAATTACCTATGGTATGCTTATGAAGTGTCATAATACATTTACTCGTCCGAAGAGGAATTCCCAGGCACACTTAAATCTATTATTATTTGGTCGAAAACAGTGTCTATCATCCCGTCCAATCTCCACATTTTCTCTTCTTTCTTGATCACATGGGCTACAGCATTAGCCCAATCTTCTTTCCGTATCCGTTTCATTGCGTGTTCTAATGAACGTTGGACATCATAAATTTTATATGTCACGTTTTCACGAGCTACGTTACCCTTAATTCGAGCCCAGATTAATTCTATCGGGTTTAACTCGCAATGGTAAGGAGGAAGTATCAAAATGGTGATGCCTTCAGCACGAACTATCCACCACATGCTGGCGATATTTGTCATGATGCTGTTTAATGACACTCATAAGCTCGGCCTTAACCATGTCCTCGGAAAATGGAATTCTTTTTTGTACTAACCAACTCTGCATGACTGCTTTTCTGGTGGTCATAGTTGGCAGCTGTTCTACTAATCGGCTGTGATAAGAAACGTTATCCATTACTATTGCCGAATTTGGCTCGACTCGTGAATGAAGGGATTCAAACCATCCTTCAAAGCGTTGGGCGTCCATGTCTTCGTGATAATCTCCCGTTTTTTTTGATAAAAAAATTAGTGCACTATCGTCTAAAAAGCCACTTTCGCTACCTAAATGGACGACAATTAGTCGTTGCCCTTTGCCCGTGGGTCTGCGTAACCCTGTTGATAAACCGTCCACAAATGCTTGACGATAACTAGTTACAGTAGTATCTTACCAGATCTTAGATACTGTGTGACCAGCATTCACCCACGTTTCGTCCAGATAATAAATCTTTTTGTGAGCAGAACGCATTTCTCTAATAGAGCGAAGATATCTCCATTGCGAAAAGACTATATCTTCTCTTTTTATTAAGACAGATTTACGGGATCGTTTGGCATATATAAATTTTTGATGTTCTTTTATTATTTTCCTTAACTTCTCTTTGGTCATTTTTGGGATGAGATCATTATCCATTACTTTTGTCCTAATGGATTCGAGGGTTGGCGCTTCATTCTCAAAAAAGAAAGAATGAATGGTATAGCGTAAAAAAAAAATTCTGGTACTCGTCCAATTCAATTTTTTTTCTACCACAACAATGTACTTTTGGAGCTTTCACTGAACACTGGACTACAGCTTCCACGGTACGGAGTGTATTTTTTTAATTTTCGTACACTCTACAGACAATCTGTTTTTCTTCTAACTACATAAACTTCCACTTTCTTTGAAAATTACTTGGAGCTGCTACGGCATCCATCTTAATACTATAAAATTAATAAAATTCAATCATATTATTCAGCTATTTGTCAGTTGTTTACTTACTTCAAAAACTATTTTAAAGTTGATGTATTTTGAAAAACAATTCATTGTGAGATTTTCACTAGAACAGATTAACAAATCCGCAACACGTGTTTCGCTGCACAGTAGCTTTTTCAAGCGTGTTCACTAACAAACTGAATTCTACATACCATACAAAAAAATAGTTTAGATATTGAAAATAAATCGTAAAAGTTCACGAAACAAAAGTGAAACAATATTTTCCACTCCCTATTTGCGCTTCAAATCGAATTTACGTATGAATGGATCCAACTTTTATAGTGAATGGACAGATGTTTGCCAGCGACCCTTGCTGGTCGATGTTTCTGGTGTGTAGAGTCATATGCTGGTAGCGCTGGAACACATCAAGTGATGCAGTTAATGGGAGTAACGAACTGAGAACTGCCATTAGACGCTTTTATCATCCAGCGTGTGCCACATGGATCTTCCGTTAATGTCAGTGATAAAATTTGCTTTTACAATATGATATTATGTATATCAATTTAAAAAATTATTTTTGTTTTGAGTTAAAAAAAACTTATAGAATACGAGGGTTGCCTTTTATGTTTCGGGATTTGGAAACTTTATTGTTGCAAGCTGGCAACTGACAGCTCTATCGTATAGCTGGACATTTTTGAGCTTATACGTACTCAGAACGTTTTGACATACATGCGCTATTTGTGGTGTTTACAGCAACTTAAAAGATTCATCTCGGCTCAAAAATGGAATTAAATCGTGAACATTTTCGTGCGATTATGTTTTACAACTTTCGACGTGGATTAACTCAGCAACAGTGCATGGATGAACTTAATTCAATTTTCGGCGATGAAGCTCCATCAAAGGCCAGTGTTTATCGATGGTATGGTGAATTTAATCGTAGTACCTCAAGACGAATTTCGTGAAAGTCATCCAAAATCAGTTGTTCTTCCGAAAACCATTGATGATGCGCGCGAACTGATATAGCAAGATCGTCATGTGACCTATGGTGAGATTGAGACAACCTTAGGCATCAGTGGGACCAGCATACATTCAATATTGCATAACCATTTGACTGTCAAAAAAATTTGTTCGCTTTGGATCCCACACAATTTGTCAATCACTCAAAAAAAGGTTCGTGTCTATTGGTCGAAGGAAATGCTCAATAAATACGATCGCGGTGCTTCGAAATACGTCTATAACATCGTGACAGGTGATGAATCGTGGATTTACGCGTATGAGCCCGAAAGTAAACAGCAGTCGACTGTATGGGTGTTTTAAGCCAAATCCAACGAAAATTGTTCGCGTACGAAGCACTTCCAAGCAAATGGTCCCTGTTTTTTTCTGAAAAACTGGACATGTCGCAACCGTACCGCTAGAACAACGCAGAATAGTCAGTTCTGTGTGATACACAACCATTTGTTTGTCAGTTGTCTTCCAAGAAATCAGGAAAACCAAACGCCGAAGACACATCGGCTCAAACTACTGCATTTTTGAGCACCCAAAACATCGATTTGATGAGTCATCCGCCGTATAGTCCTGATTTGACACCGAATGACTTGTTTTTATTCCCGCACGTAAAAAACAAACTGAGAGGTCAACGTTTCTCGACACCTAAAGAAGCGGTTGCTGCATTCAGAATGCATGTTTTGGAGATATCTCAATAAGAGTGGCAGAAGTGCTTCGACAATTGGTTCAAATGCATGCAAAAGTGTATAGATCTTCATGAGAAATATTTTAAAAAACAATAAAGTGATTCAAGATGATTAATATTGATTTTTGTTCTATAATTCCGAATTGTAGAAGGCAACCCCCGTATAAATGCAACGTTCAAACTCAGCCAGATTCAACAAGAAGAATCTTGAGCGACAAAAGTGTTCAACCTGAAATGAAACGGGTAGCAAATTGTAACACTGTTTTCTTATGAATGCAGGGATTTCAGGCTCTTCTTCTATCTAGTTAACATTTCAAGTTGCAGAGAGATTTTTTCAAGGACAGAACACAAGCAATTACAGGAAAATCCCTAAGGTACCTTTGCGAAAGTAGTGCTGGAGATTGAATTCATTTGGAAAAACGATCTCAGGAAGTTTATCACTCATGCAGACAGTCCTCTAAATGAAAGAGTTCTTGAACAGTGAAGTTCGAGGTGAACTGATATGATCCTCAACACGATGAGCAGCTAGCTACAGATCGTCGCTTATTTCTGATATATACCGCTCTTGGTGGAATCAAATATGCCAAGTCACTTGAATACCTCCCGTGGAAGTATGTATAAAAGAGAGACAAATCTTCAACCCCTCTTCGATGTTCCAGACTATCAAGGTTGCAAGTGATGTTCGTGTCTGCAATCAGGTGGATGGCTCTTTTCTGGGAGGAATCCAGCAGCTTCAGGATATGCTCAGCTCCATGGCGCTGAAGAAATATCTGGCGATGACCAGCAAAAATCTATGCATAACAGGAGGATTTCTGACTGACCACTGTCAGCTAAGAAAACACCTCCATGATATAGGGCTAGTGGACACACCTCTATGCAGGATGTGTGAACAGGAAGATGAAGCTGTCGGGCGTGTCCTATACTAGTGTCCGACGATTTCGAATTCTACGGGTTCAGGTAAGCTATTTGTTATTTCAATCAAAATTACTAGTTTTTTGTCTAGTATGAATCCCTATTTCATTAGTTCGTACGTCCACTGTGCAATACGTTATGATTTGAAATCTCTGAAATATCAAATTAAAATTGAAATTGAAAAAAATAGCTGAAAATATCAATCATATTAGGCAAAATACCCTGAAAAGAAATCAGTCATCACCCGAAGGCTATTGTGGATACTAACAATCGAAACGTCGTGAAGCAATTTAATGATTTTCAGCTATTCTTTTCAATTCAAATTTTCAATTGTTATTTCATACATTTCAAATCATATCATATTAGACAATGGATTCGGCCATTACTTGATGAAGATCCATAGTACTTTCATAAACTACACCTTACGTACGTAAGGTGTAGTTTATGAAATTACATATGATTTGTGTTTAACTCTGGTTGAAGAGTTACCACTATAGTAGGTAATTGATTTGTTCGTGGAGGAATACTTTGCATTTTTATTCTGGACGGTTATTATCTATATCTGATACAATTAACTAAAATCGTCAGGGTATGCTGTGTATATTTCATTTCCTAAAACATTCTCTACATCATTAACGTAGGGTATGAAGGGGATAGGACCTAAAATTGACCCCTGTGGCACTTCCATTTCAAGTTTGAGTTTTTCTGATGTTTTTTCAGTATCACATCATTCCATTTATGTTTTATGCTCACATACTGAGTTCTATTATGTAAAAAACTTGAAATCCATTGAAGTGTAACCCTCCTGACTCCGTATGTCTCTCATTTCAGTAATGATTTGTCATGATTGACTCAACAAATGATTTTATAGACAAAAAAACTGTGAGGCTACAACCGTGTGCGAGGTCATCCACCCAGTGATTGTGCTATTGTACTGCTGCAAATATCCAGACAGGGTAGAAATGAATAGCCCACTAGAGTCGCTACCATTTCAAAGTTGTCAGTTTAATCGCTTTATCGTGTATAATCTGATTTTACCTGGCATTCGATTCAATTCTTCAGAACCTTTAGAAACCGATCAATGATTCAAATATAACAACAGTATGCTTTTCTCCAAAATTCAGGGAGATCGTGACGCGAAATGTCGAATCTTTATGTTGAACAGGCTCTTATTTAGAAATCAGATCGGAATTTTGAAGAATGCCAAGACATATTGGTGTCCATTTTAACCCCCAACAAACTAATCGAAGCAGAAAGCGGAATTGCCTGACCTGGCATAGTTCGGAGACATTTATTTTCTTGGAGAAAACCGATGCCTGGGTTTTTGTGGCATTGAATTGAACCTGGTTACTTCCGCCCCCCATTCGAAATCACTAGATCCTCATTAGGATATGCAACCCCCTGCTGCCGGTAAAGATGTGCCTCCGTAGCCGATGTTCTGGAATCCAAATGGAATGACGAGACAAGTGTGCTGTTGTCAGCAAAGCAATATATTGGATATTTGTTTTTTTCCAATGACTCGTTGAAATTCAATAAAAAGAGGGTTGGAGACAATATGGCTCCCTGGGAACACCAGCGTGTTCAAGTATTCCAAGTATTCAAGAGGTATCTACCGACGGCCACTTGCAGGGAACGTTCTTTCAGGAAGCTGGGGAGCCATACACAGAAATGATTCGACAAGCCATAACATCGAAATTTGGCTAGAAAACCCACATGCCACACATGGTCAAAGACTTTAGAAATATCAAGCGCAACAGCTTTTGATTCTCCATGTTTCTCGATTGCGATATTCCAAATATGGGTAACATACGATAGAACGTCGTATGTTTCCAAAAATCATATTGATGATCGCCCAATATTTTGAAGCCCTCTATATATTCGAGGATATGGTAGTTTACGACTTTCTCCATGATTTTTGATATCACTAATAGAAAAGCGTGAAGATGTTTCTTGTCCTTTTTGGGAATAGGCTGAACGCGAGTATATAATTGAGACAATATTTAATTGTGATCAAAATGCAACTCAAATGACGCTCCTTCTTCAGAACTGCCGATTTCCAGAAATCCTTGTCAACTCATATACATTTGACACTGTCCTGAATACTTTTCTTTCATCGCAGTGACTCTTCTAAAATGTGTGACGTGTAAAATCTTTCATAAAATTCCAACATGGATTCTAGTTATTCTAATTGTGTATATACATTTTTTTCTCATGAAAGCTGAACATCCAAAGAAGGAAAACAAAGTGAATACAAACTATAGGTATAGAAGTTAATGCGTTGGATACAACAGGAACAAGAACCAGAGCACCAGCCCGGGTGTTGCGACCGTAACCACATCAGGCATACAAATTTGCAGACCACGGCCAAAAACCCGGAAAATAGCCTTCATATATATTTGAGAAATATATACCTGGTACCGACGAACAATGGATCAAAAATTCTTCCTCAATTCATGAAGTTGAAATCCGCAGGAATTTCCACGACTAGTGATTGTAATAAGTCCTGCAAGAAAACATGAAGAATTGTGTAGGTTCTTCCACTAGGCGTTATCTTTTTTAAATTAAGATGAAACGTGATGTGTATGAGATATCATCGAATGTAGGCTTTCACGTCTGGCGTCAATATTTTGGTTGGTTTCCAGCTTTTGTCATGGTCTTCTTTTGCCAGTTCACATCACCTCTACGTTAGATGACCATGCTCTCTTATCGCTCGTGTGTGACACGTAGCCCGTAATGTTGAAACCACATGTCTCTGGTGTTCAGATAATCCACAGTAGGCCAAAAGTAGTTGGTAATCATCGACCTATGGTGCTCGCCGTTAACAGGGATGGCCTGGCCAACATTCTTCTTGAAGAAATATGAAGCATTGACGCCGCTAGCCCAAAATCCTCGACACACAGTGACTTTTTCAGGATGCATTGGACGCTGTTGGATCTCACGTGGATAGGTTTCGTCCCAAATTCGACAGTTTTGTTTGTTCACGTACCTACGAGGTCCGGCTATTGAATAACGAGACTGCACGCCTAGAGGGTGCCCTGAAGGGGTGGGTAAAAAAAGGAGTAGTGCGTTGGGTATCTGGCAATATTTTCTATTCACGTACCAAAAACGTTTTCACACTATTATAGTATTTTTGCAGTAGCGGTTTGGAACTATGTGTGACGAAAAACAGGAGCAACGTATCAATATCAAATTTCTCGTTAAATTAAAAAAACTCTGAGTGAGTGCTATAAATTGTTGCAAGAGGCCTATGGGGACAATATAAATCAAGTGCGCGTGTTTTTGAGTGGTATAAGCGCTTCAGTGAGAACGAGAAAGCACTGAAGATGACCAGCGCCCAGGTCGCCCTGTCACTTTTTCAATTCCGGAAACAGTGACCAAAATCGACCACATTGTGCGTGCAGATCGTAGAATGATCATTTGGATCATTGCAGAGGCTGTAAACGCCGATAAAGAAACGGTTAGAAAAATTTTACACGAGGAATCACATAACAAAAGTCTGTGCGAAATTGGTGTCAAAAAACCTGACTCCTAACCAAAAGCTCTTGCGTAATCAGGTGTGCACAGATTTCCTCGATAGGTTAGAAGAAAATCCCGGACTGATGATAAACATTAGGGGANAGGGAAGTTTATTGAAGGGGAGCTTTCCAACGTAGAATATTTTTTTTATTCTTTCTAATTTTTTGATCTTTCGATGAAAATTTGGTACGTTGCAGTTCCGACGTAGAATTCGCCAAGTCGTGATCTGCGAAAGGACGAGTTCTTGTGAGCGACGCGAAATCCACTGCCTCGGATTCTCCTGCAACTCTCACAGACAGCGGCGATGTTTCCGGCAGATTTTTCGTATCGTTGTCGCAAGGGTATTAATTAATCGTTTACTGAACCAGAGGACGCAAATTCATCCACCACATTGCGAATAGTCCTCCCGGTAGGTCGATTATAACGACTGTAAAATTGGCGAAGTACGCGCTGATTTGGCCAAATAGACTGAATAAATGACAACTAATTTGACAGATGAAGCTTCAACAAAATGACTCTTATCAATTGTCAAAGTTAGGAAGTCTCTATTCGAAGACCCTATATAACTACGAAATTAAACTGAACAATCTGCACGCAGGAAATTATCATTGACTGTTTCAATTCACAGAAATCAATCCCCATTCGCAGATTCATAAATTGCGAAGTTGCGAGATTCTGGTGGTTGCTCTCCGTTGGCTATTTAATTAAGGCCTTCCACGCTGTGATGATTGATGTGGTGGTGTTCTGTTGTTTCCAGAGGTTGCGTGGACCTGGATTGTTCGTTGCTAGGCATAATCACTGGATTATACGCCGGGGTGAAGGACAATGGTCAAGACTCATCAAAGCTCTTTGTTGAGCATGTGGTCAGTTCTGTTTGAGATTTTCTTTGAACAGCTTGATACAAAATTTCGTAAATATAAACCTTTATTCTATTTTCTTTGCTGTTCTGTACCAAACATGGACAAAAATATAATATATCATAAAATGTGATATGAAAGGTGAGGAATTTGAACAGTTTTTCGTTAAAGTTGTTATATTTTGATAAAGTATCATTAGTTCAGAAAAATTTCTAGGANGTACTTTAGTTTCAACCAAATAATCCTTTCAAGGCGTTATATTTGAAATTTTTATTCAATTCTGGTAACCCGTTTCCAAATTGTTTTATATCAAAACGGTATATCGTTTTTTATATCAGCAATAAATGCAGTACCGTGCACATGATTCGATTGTTGAAGAATCTGGTTTCCATATAAAACTTCTTTACTATATACAAGTATAGGAACATGAACCTAATATTTATTCATGTGCACGGTCACACATTTTGTAATGATTGTAATAAAACGCTCTTGATAATACGTCGCGTCGGATACATAAACCAGATATCTACACAATGTGGCGGTAACTGCCATGTGTGTTCCGATACTACTATATTGTTTATCATATTTCATTAATTTCTTAGTACAGTAAGTAATGATATGAGCGAAACTTTATACGTAGAATATCATTTGTTTGAAATTCTGGACGAAATT